ATATATATATATATATATATATATACTACTTATTATATATATATATATATATATATATATATATATATATATATATATATATATATATATATTGTGTGTGTGTGTGTAGTAATATATATATATATATATATATATATATTAATATATATATATATATATATATAATCCATTTATGTATGTTGTTTGTTGTAAAATCTATTCTTCACGACTAATGGACACAACTAATTGACTAAATCGGTTTTTAAGTAAAAATCGATTGCGACTGAACTACGTAAACACGCTATGGAGGAATGTGCACTGCTGCATGAATGGCATATTGAATATTCAATAAAACTCGTTATAAACCGTCAAGTCTGTTGGGAGTCCTTCACTCACCCGAATTGTTGTGATTACTTCATTGTGTACAGATAGAGTGGCTTGTAGATGCAGAGCATCTGACCGAACCCGTCGACGTACCTACTATCGTGAACACCATTTTCCCACCGCTGCAGGACTGCAGATGTCCGATATCCGTATACGGGTAGGTCCTATTAGAGAGTAGGGTTCTTCACATTTAATTGTACTTATAGAATATAAGATACATCGTCGTTTGTGAACTCAATAGGATTGATACGATCGTATGATGGACCTTCACCTTTATATATACTATCATGAAACACTCCAAACTGGTGTCATGAAAAACTCTTATGTACTATCATGAAACACTCCTTTGTACTATCATGAAACACTATATAATCCGGGAGACATCCTCGGTTGTGAACTCGATAGGGTTTTGGCCGCCTACCCTGGCCTCAAATACTGCACCATGTTATTAACTACGCACACTTCCGTATGGTTTTCGTTTCTCATTGGCATTTGTACCTGTACGCTAATAAGTGTAAGTTCAAGCGTATGAGACTGCATTGTTTCTCATGTGCTAGTATCAACTGACCCATTGGCGCTTGTAAACCGTAGCAAATCGATCAACTCGGGCAAGTGGGTAAGGTTACCTGACGTTATAATGCAGCAAGACATGGACCTCTCCATGTTTGATATAGAGAGTGAAGGAGACATGAGCGGTTATGAGAGCGAGAACGGTGATGGTGGTGAGAGTGCGGATGAGGATGAGGATGAAGATGATGAAGAAGGCCCAGAGACAAGGTATAATTGGCTGATATTTGTGTATTTAGCTTGTCTGTTGAACAATGTCTGCTCGGTTCATAGGTCATACTCGCTGCGGACTTTGTGAACTTGTGGAAGGGGTGGAAAATCATGCAGAATTTGTATCTATTATTATATATATATATATATATATATATATATATATATATATATATATATATATATATAATATA